AGGATATGATTTGGGGGAGAGATGAAAGAGAAGGGACCACTCTAACTTCACATTTATTGGATTGCAGCACTGTGTAAAGATACGATATAGAGTGTATATTAAAAATTCAGCTAAAGAGCACAGAAACAAATAATGTATCAAAAAGAAACAATAAATAGAAAGGAACATGTTAGAAAAGAGTATGGCATTAAACAGTGATATATTCATAAATCAAAAGATAAATATTTTTACTGTAAAATTATCTGGACATTTTTCAGTGGGGTTTCAGGTTGGGACATAGTATCGATATGACATTGGTTGCACTTATTGATTACTAGGTGGTCCTACCATCCTGGCCCTCCTTGATCTCTCAGCAGACATAATCAATTATGCTATACTTCTAAACCAGCTGCAGGAAGTGAGAATGGGGAGTATGATATTAATGGTTCTTCACCCTTAAGACTGGTTATAGTTAGTGCTGGGGTGGGGGTAGAGAAGTTGAATCAAAGCTGCTGATCTGCAGAGTGCTTTAGGACCCAATACTCCCTGTTCTCCAGTTGTTTATCTACCTGAGGCTATAAGAGGAAGTCAGCCTTTAATTTGGCAAGATGTATTATCAGTAAGCTGCTGATACTAAGCTGTGCCTCTCAATCTTTTGCTGACCAAGTGAAGCTTTCAAAGTCTTGATGTAATACCTGGAGACTGTAAGGTCTGGTTAGAGAAGAACTGTAACAAGACTGACTGGCTGCAGATGTTTGGTCCTTCTAACATTGGGGACCTTTTATCTTTGGTTCTGAGCAGGGTTGCATTGGTTCACTCAGGATGGATGTGCAATCTGGAGGCCTTCCTGGATTTTTAACTCCTATTCAAGGTAGCAACTATGTCTAGCTAGGCATTTGTAGAAGCATAGTTTGTGCACCAATTGTATCCTTTCCTGGATTAAGAGGCCTTACTCATGACCATTCATGTCTTGGTCACCTTGTGATTGCACTATTGCAATGCACTCTACCTAGATCACTTAGTAGCTACAGTTGGTCCAGAATGAAACACTACAACAGTGATGAATAGGCATCACTATACCCAGTGATCTATTGTATGATGTGCACTGTCTGCTAGTTTACTTCTAAATCCAATTTAAATTGCTAGTTTGTTTGTTTGTTTGTTTGTTTGTTTATTTATTGATTGATTGATTGATTGATGAAGATTTATATGCCGCCTTTCTCCCTAGGGACTCAAGGCGGCTTACAAAATGACAACTTCAATACAAATCACAATACAATACAAAATTAAAATCAGTAACCCAATTAAAAAACAATTTAAAATTATACCAGTGTACCCCCAAATGGATCAGTTTAATTGGCGGAAGAGCCACGTCTTCAGCTCGCAATGGAAGGAAAGAAGGTCGGGGGCTGTCCTGAGCTCAGTGGGCAATCCATTCCAGAGGGTCGGGGCTCCCACAGAGAATGCCCTCCCCCTGGGGGTCATCAACTGACATTGTTTGGCTGACGGCACCCTGAGGAGGCCGACTCTGTGAGAGCGCACAGGACGATGGGAGAACGGCTGGAGATGGTCCTGCAAGTACCCTGGGCCTAAGCCATGAAGAGCTATATAGGTGAGCACCAGCACCTTGAAACGTATCCGGAGTGCTACCGGTAGCCAGTGCAGCTCACGCAGGAGAGGTATTACACGGGAGTATCTAGACGCCCCTGTAACTACCTGCGCGGCTGCATTTTGGACTAGCTGAAGCCTCCGGACACATCCCAAGGGCAGCCCCATGTAGAGGGTGTTGCAGTAGTCCAACCTAGAGGTAACAAGGGCGTGAGTGACCGTGGCGAGGGCATCCCGGTCTAGGAACGGGCGCAACTGGCGCACAAGATGGACCTGTGCGAAGGCCCCCCTGGTTATGGCCATCAGATGGTCATCTAAAGACAGCCGAGAATCCAGGAGGACACCCAAGTTGCGGACCCTATCGGAGGGAGCAAGGGTTTCACCTCCGATCATTAAGGATGGAACCTCCAGATCCCGGGATGCCGGCATCCACAGCCACTCAGTCTTGGAAGGGTTGAGTCTAAGCCTGTTCCTCCCCATCCAAACCCGCACTGCTTCCAGGCAGTGGGACATCACGGAAAGGGCATCCCTAGGGTGGTCAGGGGTGGAAATGTAAAGCTGGGTATCATCAGCATATTGATGATACCTCACCCCAAAACCACGGATGATCTCACCCAGCGGTTTCATATAGATTTTAAAGAGCAGAGGGGAGAGAACCGAGCCCTGAGGCACCCCACAAGTGAGAGGCCTCTGGGAGGATCCCTGACCCCCCGCTCAAACAGACTGCAGACAGCCCGAGAGATAGGAGGAGAACCACTGTAAAACAGTGCCTCCTAACCCTATCCCCCTGAGCCGCTGCAGCAGGATACCATGGTCGATGGTATCGAACGCTGCTGAGATGTCAAGAAGGACCAGGATGGAGGAGCAACCCCCATCCCTGGCCCACCAGAGATCATTTACTAGGGCGACCAATGCCGTTTCCGTGCTGTGGCCACGCCTGAAACCAGATTGGTAAGGATCCAGGTAGTCAGTTTCCTCCAGGAATTGAGGGAATTGCTGTGCCACCACGGACTCAACAACCTTCGCTAAAAAGCGAAGGTTGGAGACTGGACGGTAGTTGTTAAGTACGTCAGGATCCAGGTTAGGCTTCTTAAGGAGGGGTCGAACCACCGCCTCTTTAAGCGCATCGGGAAAGACCCCTTCCTTTAGTGAAGCGTTGACAACAGCCTGGATCCAGTCTCCAGTCACCTCCCTGGCTGCCGAAACTAGCCAGGAGGGACAAGGGTCCAGTAAACATGTGGAAGACCCCAGCCTACCCATAATCCTGTCCACGTCATCCAATAAAACAGGCTCAAACTCAACCCAGATGTCTCCACCAAGACTAGGCCCTGTCACCTCAACGGACTCTGTCCAGTCGGAGTCCAACCCGGTCCGAATCTGAGTGATTTTATCTTGCAGAAACTGTGCAAAGTCGTCAGCACGGCCCTGTAAGGGGTCCTCCCTCGCTCCCTGATTAAGGAGGGAGTGGGTCACTCTAAACAGGGCTGCTGGGCAATTTTCTGCAGATGCAATGAGAGTGGCGAAATAGTTACGTTTTGCCACTTCCATCGCCACAAGATAAGACCTAATATGGGTTCTTAGTTGTGTTCGGTCGGACTCGGATCGGGAGAATCTCCAACCACCCTCCAGGTGTCTTTTCGGACGCTTCATTTTCCTGAGCTCTGTGGTAAACCAAGGAGCCACCCGGGATTGCATCGGATCAGAGGCCGCAAAGGCGCGATTTGATCCAGGGCCCCCACTGCAGCCTGTTCCCAGGCAGCGACAAGGGTCTCAGATGAATCGTGGGCTAAGGAGGCAGGAAATGACCCAAGCTCCATCAGGAAACTTTCGGGTTCCATCAGGCGCCTGGGGCGGAACCATCTTACTGGTTCCGCGCCCCTGCGACGGGGGATGGCAGAGGAAAAGTCGAGTCTAAGGAGGGAATGATCGGTCCATGACAGAGGGTCAGTAGATAAAGTCCCCTCCCCACGATCATTTATCCACTGTCCAGAGAGAAAAATAAGGTCGAGTGTGTGTCCTCCAATATGAGTTGGGCCCTGTACAATCTGAGTCAGGTCCATGGCCGTCATGGAGGTCATGAACTCCCGCACCAACTCAGATGACTCACCGGCCGATGGCAGATTGAAATCTCCCACAACCAAAAGGTTGGGGAGTTCCACCATCAATTCGGCTAAGACATCTAGTAATGCGGGCAGGGCTGAGGCCACGCAGCTGGGGGAGAGGTACGTGATCAACAGCCCAGACTGAACTCCAGGGTCCCATTTCAAAAGGAGGGATTCACACCCGCCAACCTGAGGAACAGTGACCTCCCTAGGCCTAAGACTTTCCTTAATAACTACCGCCACTCCTCCACCCCTCCCCTGGAGTCGTGGCTGGTGTAGTATCCGGAAACCTGGGGGACACAAATCCGTGAGAGGGACACCGCCCTCCGGCCCCAGCCAGGTCTCAGTGATACAAGCCAGGTCCGCGTCCTCGTCTATAAGATCTCGGACCAGGAGTGTCTTGTTCACCACGGACCTGGCATTTAAGTACACCAGTCGGAGTCCAGGGCTCCACACTCCGTCACTGTCGGGGGAGCAGGATGAGCTGAGGGGGCAGGAGGGCGCCACCGCTTGAACGAAGCGGCGGTGCCCTCCTAGCCCCCCCCGACCTCTGCGTCTCCCAACTGTCACAGGATTGGAAGACCCTCTCTCTGCTGAGCCTCTTCGTTCCCTCCTCCTCCCTCCCTCCCCCCCCAACCATCCGACGGGCCCAACTGCTGAACCGTAGGAGCCGCCCCTGGCTCAACCCTTACCACCCGCCTCCCAGGTCCCCTTAAAATTTGATTAAAAACATTAATTAAAAAACCCCTCAAATGAAGCATGCCAACACTCGGGGTTCCAAAACCCGTCCTTGAGGTAGGCCTTCGATAAATTCGAAGGCCATGTCTGCGAGAGGGGGGCATCTCGCAGAGCAAGGAGGGTCGCTGAAGTGTAAGCCATAATAAATATGAGAAGTGGATGGAAAATAGCAACAGGAAACTGAGATGATAAACAAGAGGGATAATGATGGTAAAATAGGAGTCAACCCAGGCCGGCATAACCACCGCTCTCTCACAGCGGTGGAGAATCCAAGGCTGCAACGAATGAGTCCCGCAGAACCAGCCGCAGCCACCCTCTCACACCTCTCCTGCACGAGCTGCACTGGCTTCCTGTGGTCTTCCAGGTGCGCTTCAGGGTGTTGGTGACCACCTTTAAAGCGCTCCATGGCTTAGGGCTGGGGTATTTGCGAGACCGCCTTCTGCCGCCAATAGCCTCCCACCAACCGGTTCGCTCACACAGAGAGGGCCTCCTCAGGGTGCCCTCGGCCAGGCAGTGCCAGTGTCAGGTTTCGGTGCTATCTTGAATAAACTTCATTCTCAAGCGCAAGCTGTCTAATGTATCATTTTATTTTTAAGAATAGCAGAATCCGACATTTCTGATTCAAATTGCAGCCAAACTGGCCCCTCCTTCCAACCCCCTCTTCTTCCGCTCTCCAACCCCAATGTCCCATTGGCCATCATACAGATCCATCTCTACATCCCGGCACGTTCTTTTCACAGGAATGCAGCCCCCATCCTCGTCTCCCAGGAAACACTATCTGTACATACAAAACTAGGTAAAAGTTCATCTCAGCAATAAATCAAGCTTCCGCTCTTTCTGCTTCAACTTGTTATGTCAGCACTGGAAGAAAGCCTAATTTGGAACGCTGACATCCGGCCCCTCTCCCTTCACTTCTGCGACATCACCTATCCCATAGGGAAAACACAACAAGATTAGTCTCATCAGCCCCTCCCTGGCAGTGCACCCCCCCTCCCGGCTATCCCGGGTGGTCTGCATGGAATTTTGCTATAAGGCGATCAGCTTGGATGTTTGCGCTCTTCACCCAGGAAGCCTCTGACAATGGGTAACCCTTCCATTTAATTAAGTACTGAAGGCGCCCCCTGTGCCATCTTGAATCAAGAATCCGCTGCACTTCGTAGTGCGTTTGGCCCCCAACAACCAGGGGCCCAGGGGGTTCACGTGGCGTTGGCCTTAAAGTAGACCCCACTACAGGTTTTAGAAGGCTACTGTGAAAAACGGAGTGAATTTTCCCCAAAAGCCGTGGCAACTGCAATTGCACTGTAACGGGGTTGATTATTTTTATTATAGGAAATGGTCCTATAAATTTTGGGCCCAATTTCCTGCTCGGGAGTCTAAGTCTCAAGTACTTGGTGGAGAGGTAAACTTTCTCTCCCAGCTGAAATGGTCTTTGGGGAGTTGGGTGCTTGTCTGCTTGGTCCTTATAAGATTGAGCCGCCTTTGCCAGCACCCTCTTAACATTTTCCCAAGTTTGTTTCAACATTGCCATCCAGTCGGTCAAACTGACTGAGGAAGGGGGCTCCCTCGGGTATTCTGGCATGGGAACAAAATCCATGCCACTCACTATTTTGAACGGGGTTAGCCCCATGCTGCTGTGGACAGCATTATTATATGCAACCTCCGCAAAAGATAGGAGGTCTGCCCAATTGGACTGCTGGTAGTCGACGTAGCATCTTAAATACTGTTCTATCATAGCGTTCAGTCTTTCTGCCCCCCCATTGGTGCTCGGGTGAAATGCTGAGCTGAGCCCTTGGGATGAACCTATGGACCGTAGAAACTCCCTCCAGAACTTTGCTGTGAACTGGACCCCTCTGTCGGAAATGATTCTCCTGGGGACTCCATGTAGGCGGTAAATGTGTTTCAGGAACAGTTTGGATAACTGACGGGCTGAAGGCAGTCCACTACAAGGAATGAAGTGTGCCTGTTTGGAGAATAAGTCTATTACAGTCCAGATCACTGTATTTCCACTGCTCCTCGGTAGGTCTACTATAAAGTCCATTGCAATCTCCTCCCATGGTCTTGTTGGCTCAGCTACTGGTTGCAACAATCCAGGCGGGCACCCTGGCCTTGTCTTCATCGTGGCACAAATGGTGCAGCTTTTTACATAACTGTCTACGTCCTTTCTCATATGTGGCCACCAGAACTGCCTTCGTACTAGGTGCAGAGTCTTTAGGAACCCTGCTGGTTTAACATCGTGGCTCCTCTTGAGAATCAGGATGCGTAAACTCTGTGGGACATAGAGCTTTGTCCCCCTCCATGCTAGTTCATCTCTTTTTGTCAAGAGATGTTGATTGTCCCGATACCAGGGGTCTGTCAGCGTTTCATTTTTTAATTTCGCAGTTAAGTCACTTGCAAGTTGGCCTTGCTGGTCACGTCGTTGCCGTCTGGTGATCACTTGGGCCGCAGCTTGGGTGGAGGGGATGATGGCATTCACTACCTGCTCCCGCTCACTGTTGTATTGGGGCATCCGGGAGAGGGCATCAGCCAGGAAATTTCTCCCACCTGGGATGTGCTTAAGCTCGAAATTGAAACGATTGAAGTATTGTGCCCACCGCACTTGCCTGGGCGACAGTTTTCGTGGGGTTTTTAGGGCCTCTAGGTTTTTATGATCAGTCCAGACTTCAAATGGTTTCTGGCCTCCCTCTAGAAGGTGCCGCCAGGTCAACAAGGCCCACCTTACTGCAAACGCTTCCTTCTCCCACGCCGCCCATTGCCTCTCTGTATCGATGAGTTTGCGGGAGGTGTAGGTGCAGGGTTGTAGATCACCTTGGTTGTTCTTTTGGAGTAACACAGCTCCTACTGCCACATCACTTGCATCTGCTTGGATGACAAAAGGCTGTTCTGGATCCGGGTGTTTTAAGACAGGTTCTTTCGCGAACAGTCCTTTTAGCGTCTCAAATGCCTGTTGGCAGGTCAGGTCCCACTGTAGGGGTTGTCCCGGGCGAGGTTTCATCGCTGGGCTTCCTGTCTTTAGGAGATCTGTCAAAGGTTTGGCAATCTTCGCGAACGAGGGGATGAATTGTCTGTAGAAATTCACAAAGCCTAGAAAACTTTGCAGTTGTCTGCGGGTGCGAGGGGGCTGCCATTGTAGAACTGATTGGACCTTGGCTGGGTCCATCTCTATCCCCTCATTTGATACTCGGTAGCCCAGGTAGTCTAGCCGTGATTGGTGGAAATCGCATTTTGGCAGTTTGACATATAGGTTTGCCCATAGCAGTTTTTTCAGTACTTGGCGGACGAGGGGTATATGTTCGTCTATGGTCTCCGTGTAGATAAGAATATCGTCCAGGTAGACGAGGACCCCTTTGTAAAGGTGTTCATGTAAGACTTCGTTTATTAACTGCATGAACACTGCCGGGGCTCCTTGCAATCCAAAAGGCATTACTTTAAACTGGAAACTACCCAGGGGGCAGTTGAATGCTGTTTTCCATTCATCTCCTGCCCTTATGCGTACTCGGTAATAAGCTTCTCAAAGGTCTAGTTTGGTGAAAACCTTCCCTTTAGCTAGGTGGGCTAACATGTCTTTCATGAGGGGAAGGGGGTACAAGTTGTGTACGCAAACAGCGTTGATACTTCGAAAGTCGACCACCAGTCTCATGGAGCCGTCCTTTTTCTCTTTAAACATGACCGGCGCCGCTACCCTTGGTTTCACTGGCTCAATAAATCCCCTTTGTAAGTTTTTGTCTATGTAGTCCCGCATTTCCTGCATTTCTCGGGGCGTCATGGCATACATTTTAGGTTTGGGTAGTTTCGCTCCTGGGATAATCTCGATGGCACAATCGGTCTCGTGGTGGGGGGGCAGAATGTCACACTCGGCCTCGCTGAATACCCCTGCAAGGTCTTGGTACTCCCTTGGGATCTGGTTTGCGTTACAAGCGGTGGTGGGTGCGGCTGCCAATTGCTTTGCTGCACCTTCTGGGAGGGACCCTTGTGTTGGTGGTGTTTTCTTCTGTAGTGGAGGGTTGCTTTGGGGTTTCAGCGTGGGAGGGAATTCTTCTGGTCGGGGCGGCAGGGGTTGGGGCCCCTTTGCTATTCTCAGCCTGCGGGTTCCCTCTTGCCACCAAATGATTGGGCCCCATTTGTCGAGCCATGAGAGTCCCAATATGACTGGTTCTGTCATCTTGGGGGCTATTATGAAGCGGATTGTCTCCCAGTGATCTGCGAGTTCTAGTCTCACGGGTTCAGTCAAGTGTGTGGCGTACGTTCCTCCCACTAGGGACCCATCAACTTGCTCGAAGCGAATTGGTTGTTTGAGCTGTTTAGCTCGGATTCCCAATTTTAGAACTGTGGGTAGGTTGATTAGGCACCGTGTGCTACCCGAGTCTATTAGGGCTTGGAACGTCTCTTGGGCCCCTGTTTTGGGGGCTGTTAGGCGTATGGGGAAAAGAAAAGGATGGACGGGTCCACTCACCATCGGGTCATCCTCGCCTTTGTCTTCCGTGTCATAGGGTTCAGGGAACTGATCTCCCTCATCTGGGATTCCTCTGGTTTCGGTCAGATGAGCGAAAAACTCAGGGATTTGGGGAGCTTCCTGCGGTACGTGGGTGACGCGCTTGGGCCCTCGTTCCGGTCGTGCTTTGGGCGGTGGAGCTGGTCCCGGTCTAGGCGTTCCACATCTTGCTGCTATGTGGCCGCTTCCCCCACATCTGTAGCATTTCAGTGGGCTCCGTGGGGCAGTTGGTCTGTAGGAGGGCTGTGATGTTGGGGTTTCTCGTCTGTTGAGTGGCCCCTGGTCTGGTCGGCCTCTCTCCTTTCCCTCTGGTGGTTTTGACGTGTCACTCGCCCGCAGCCCTCTGTCGACTTTTATCGCTACCCGGAACCCTTCAGCGAGTCGGTTTGGGATGTCACGATAGGCAGTCACTTGGGAAATTCTTTTATCTAGGCTTGTTCTAAAAAAATACACCAGCAATCGCTCTGGTAGGGGAGGCAGTGTCCCAATGACTCTCCTGAATTCACGGATATGCTCTCTGATAGGCTTCCCCCTCTGCATTAGGTTTCTGAGCTCGTCTTCCACATAGGGATCCTCCTCCTCCTCCTCATAACGGGCTCTCCATAGTTGCAAGAACCCATCCGCATTTTGTAGCTGGGGAGCCCTGTATTTGTAGAGTGATGCTGACCACCTCTTTGCTTCTCCCTCCAGCCCTTCCGAGATAGCATTCACTAGGGCTCTGGGGAAAGGGTAGAGGTGTCCGAACTGCTCTATGTATATCTCAGCTGAATCGAGGAATTGGGCGAGGTTGTCTGGGTCACCATCGAACTTCCCTCTGAACTGGGGTGGCTCCTCCCTCTCTGCCCTCTCCTCTCTGTGCTGAGCTCTGGAGGGCCAGCCCTGGTGTTGATAGTCCTCTGCCTCGTCTCTCATCCTGGGGTGGGGAGGTGCTGCCTTGTCTGGGCTTCGCTGCCATTCCCATCCCCAGCTCGCCCTTCCCAATTCACTTAGGGGTTTTTCTTTATCTTTTACCTTTGCAAAAGGGGATTCCGCCTCTAAGGCTTTTGGCACAGTCCCCGGGTACTTATCTGCTTCACGTTTCTTTGCTTGAAGTTCTGCGGGGAGGGAAGGTGAAGAAAGTTGAACCTTTGTATTTTCCAAGTTGGCTGGAATCACAACCGCTTCTGCTCCTCCCGTTTCTTGAAGCAGGCTTTCCTCCGATAGCTTGGCTTCAGCCATAGTCCGTCCGACCAGATGTCTGGGAGGGAACGGGATGATTTAAACTCAGCCAGCCTGGATTTGGAGGAGAGTTTGGCTGTCTGTCAGGTTTCGGTGCTATCTTGAATAAACTTCATTCTCAAGCGCAAGCTGTCTAATGAATCATTTTATTTTTAAGAATAGCAGAATCCGACATTTCTGATTCAAATTGCAGCCAAACTGGCCCCTCCTTCCAACCCCCTCCTCTTCCGCTCTCCAACCCCAATGTCCCATTGGCCATCATACAGATCCATCTCTACATCCCGGCACGTTCTTTTCACAGGAATGCAGCCCCCATCCTCGTCTCCCAGGAAACACTATCTGTACATACAAAACTAGGTAAAAGTTCATCTCAGCAATAAATCAAGCTTCCGCTCTTTCTGCTTCAACTTGTTATGTCAGCGCTGGAAGAAAGCCTAATTTGGAACGCTGACATCCAGCTGGCGACCCCCAGGGGGAGAGCCTTCTCTGTGGCAGCACCTGCCCTCTGGAATGACCTGCCCCCTGAGATACGCATGATATCAGACCTCCGGACTTTTCGTCGGGCCCTGAAGACACGCTTGTTCCATCTAGCTGGGCTGGCTTGATCCCATCCTCTCAGTTTTTTAATCGAATTTCAGTTTTAATTGGGTTGATTTAAATTCGGGCCAAAATTATTTAATTGTTTTTTAAAATGTTCTTAAATTTTATACGCTATGTTTTATCCTGGCTGTACACCGCCCTGAGTCCCGCAGGAGAAGGGCGGTATAGAAATATAATAAAATAAATAAATAAATAAATAAATATGAAATGTCACTCACAGGATAAAACTTCAACGAGGAAAAGATCTTGACATGTTGTACAAATGTTAGGGGATTGCCAAAATTAATAACAGACACAATGTATAAGTCATATCATCCCAAAGTGTTGCCACCACACATCAACTCTTAGCTGCACATTATGATTTACAATTTATTACAGCACATTTCAGAACTGATTCTTCAATCTTTTTGTCCCAGAAGATATCAAAATAAGTGTTAAAAACATCCTCTCCTAATTGTAAGTAATATTGTCACTCATCCATGTCATAAAAATGTGCACACAAGATATAAAATTTAAGCTGTGGACTTATTATACTTGGACTTCGGCAAGACATTTGACAAAGTAGACCACAACTATTCCTTGATAAACTAGAAAAATATGGGATAGACAGCATTACCACCAGATGGATTTGTAACTGGCTGACAAACTGTACTCAACAAATTATCCTAAATCATACTACATCTACATGGAGCAAAGTAAACAAGATTCCATCTTAGGCCCAGTAGTCTTCAATATCTTCATAAATGACTTAGATGAGGGAACAGAAGTGTCAGGGTTCCAAGTAACAAAAGAAGACTCCAAGGCTAGAAGCTCTTCAAAGTTCCATTTTATTAGAGATTTATATTGGCACATCTGGGAAAACCCGAATCTGAAAGCTTCCAGGTTTTCCCCATCCAAAAGAAAGTCCAAGTCCCTTCCCCTGCACCACATATCCATCACATGGTCCAATCAATGCACCGTCCCAACTGGAGATGCCTCTCAGTCATGCCACTCCAGGTGTAGGCCGAATGCCCTTGACTTTCAGAGAAAGGAATGTTATTATGGCTAGATATCTCCACCACTCCATGCAATCCCCTCTCCCAGTTTCCCACAGCACTAAATGTGGCAGCCCTGAAGATCCAAAGAAAAAGATGGCCTCCAGGGCTGACAAGAAGGGGAATTCATCAAATTTGCAGAGGACACTAAACTGGCAGGAATAGCCAACACCCCAGAAGACAAGCTCAGGATCCAAAAAGATCTTGACAGACTTGAACAATGGGCCCTATCCAACAACATGGAATTTAATATGGAAAAAAGCAAGGTTTTACACTCAGGCAGGAAAAACCAAAGGTACAAGTACAGATTAGGCGAAACCTGGCTCAAAAACAGTAACTGTGAGAAGGCTCTTGGAGTCCTAGTGGACAATCACTTAAACATGAGCTAGCAGTGTGCAGCAGCCACCGAAAAAGCTAATTCAATCCTTGATTGTATAAACAGAGGCATAGAATCAAAATCACACGAAGTATTAGTACCGTTTTATAAATCCTCAGTAAGACCACACTTGGAATACTGCATCCAGTTTTGGTCACCACATTACAAAACAGATGTTGAGACTTTGGAGAAAGTGCAAAGAAGAGCAACTAAAATGATTAAAGGCTTGGAGACTAATACATATGAAGAATGGTTACAGGAATTGGGTATGGCCAGTCTAGAGAAAAGGATTAGTGGTGACATGATAGCAGTATTCCAGATTTTCAGAGGCTGCAACAAAGAAGAGGGGGTTGAATTATTTTCCAAAGCAGCAGAAGGCAAGACAAGAAACAATGGGTGGAAACTACTAAAGGAGAGAAACAACCTGGAATTAAGGAGACACCTCCTAATAGTGAGGATAATTAATCAGTGGAACAGCTTGCCTTTAGAAATTGTAGGGGCTTCATCACTGGAGGTTTTTAAGAAAAGACTGGACAGACACCTGCCTGAAAAGGTAGGGTCTCTTGCTTGAGCAGGGGGTTGGACTAGGACTCCAAGGTCCTTTCCAGCTCTATTTTGATTGACAAAAATTTAAGTGCATATGTTTGCCAATAAACAAAACTCCAATCATGCATCTTATAGACCAGGGGATTATTCTGCAACTGAAAAATTTTATAGGAAGAGATGTTGTGATAAACTGAGACTTGTGTTGGAAGATGAAAGAGATACAAGAGGGCAACACATCTAGAAAACTATAAGTTATATTTTTATATTTAGTCTTATACTTAGAAACTATAAGTTAAAGTCAGCAATGTTCAATTTCATTGCATCTTGGAAAGCGCAGTAAATTCCAATATTGGCAAATGGCTAGAAAAACTGTTTTAATTCATTGATATAACTGAATTTACCATATTTTTCGGACTATAAGACACTCCAGACTATAAGACACACCAAACTTTTGGGGAGGAAAATAAGTAAAGAAAATCTGCCTCTGATTCCCAGCAATTTGCCTCCTTGCAGCAAACAGCAAACAGCCTGGTCAGTTTCAGCACAGCCTGATTAGCATGAGCAGCTGATTGGCAGTTGGATCTGCCTCCCAGAATACCGCCTATCAGCTGTTCCAGGCAGTGGTGGGTTGCTCCTGGTTCGCACCGGTTCACAAGAACCAGTAGTAAAAATTTTTAATAGTTCGGAGAACCAGTAATAAGATTGGCTGGCCATGCCCCTGAACCGGTTCCTGGCCCGGTTGCCGTTCGCTTACCCCGCCCACTCCCAATCCATTGCTGCCTCCTGAGTCCCAGCTGATGGCTAGAGGGAAAAAAACTGTTTAAATTCTTGCCGCGGGGCTTCAAAGGGCCACCCTAGAGCTGATCAGTGTTAAAAGAAAACAAATGAGTAGACCGGTACCTGCAAAAATAGAAAAAACAGCCCATTTCAGCTTCAGCGTAGGTTAATTCGCCCAAGTTGATTAGATCGGCCTCCCGACTCTCAGCTGATTTGCTCTCAGCTGTTTTGCGCAGGACTCTGTTGCTAGCTGCAAAGAGTGCTGGAGCAGATTTTTTCCCCCTAGCTATGCTGAAAAAACAAAACTGAAAGTAAAGCAGGCTCTGCTGCAACATGACAAAATGAGGCAGAGAGAGATTTCTTTTTCTTCACCAAAAAAGGTAGGTGCAAACAATAGGAAATTTAGGGCAAAAGAGGAGAGTTCAAGATTTTAAAACACAAAAGAAAAAAAGCTCTATTTAACTAGGGAATTGTAATAATTGAGATACTATTAATTGTATATTGTGTTGATAGCAAAAATGGTTAAGTTGTGGTTTGGAGGACTATATGGGGGAAATTATTTGGTTTATTATTATTGGTAAATATAATTATTGATTTGTAAGAAATTGGATTGCATGGAAATAATTGGAATATTCATGTCCATATTGATTAATATACAAAAAAGATAGTTATATAGCTAATTGATTTATATTAAAATGTTGAATTTGTATTAAACAACTGTAATATTACATAATTAACCAATGTGAGGATGGATATAAAAATAGATGACAATGGGAAGGGGTATAATATAGAATAGAAGGGAAAAATTGAATTTGATTAAGATTAGAGATGAGGATGAAGGGTAATATTGGTTTTTTACAAAAATAGATGAGGAATAAATATGGCAAAAAGGAAATATAGAAATTGTAAATTTAATTGAAATGACTAAACACTGTTTAAATTTGTGAACCTGCCAAATACTCTGTTCAAAGAAAATACATTGTATGTTTGTATGTGTGTTTCTAATTATTGTTATTTATTCATATTTGTTTTCTTTTATTCTTTAAAGTTTAACAATTCATTCTTTATCTTAATATCTTTATATTTGTTTGGGGTTGCTTTTCTTCCCTTTCATCTTTTTTATTGTACAGCAATCTTTTTCCTCAAACCTACCACCTCTCTCTTTTCTTTCCTTCTTACTTTCTCTTCCCCCCTCTTCTTCTCCTCCTTCCTGCTTCCTCTTCCTTTCTCCTTCTCCTCCTCTCTTCCTCCCTCTCTTACCCTCCCTCCTACTCTAATTTCCCTTCCCTTCCTTCCTCCCTTCTCTTCCTTCCCTCTCTCTCCTTCCTTCTTCCATCTCTCTTCTCCTTCCTTCATCCCTCTCTATTGCTGTATCCTTTTGTGCATATGGACTACTCAGAGGGCTGAAAAAGTTATTTTTGACTGGTCCTCACACTTTTGACCAGTCCTCGAACTTACGACTGCCCTCACATTTTACATTTTTGCCCTATCTTGTCACCATGGTGAAGAGAAGCAGTTGTGAAATGAGTGACATGGTTGTTAAGAATGCTGCACGGGCATAAATGTGAGGATGGTCAAAAGTGCGAGGACCTGTCAGAAATGACTTTTTTCAGCCCTCTGAGTAGTCCCTATACACATAGCCATGGCCACCTGGTCACATGACCAGCTAGCCACGCCCACCCAGTCGCATGACCTCCAAGCCACGCCCACAAAATAAGCCACACCCATAGAACCGGTAGTAAAAAAATTAGAACCCACCCCTGGTTCCAGGCTATGAGGATTGCCACTGCCCATCGCCAACTCTAACCCATACCCATCACCACTGTTGCCTATCGCTGCCTCCTCATGCCCCGTTTTCGGCCTCCACGCACCCCATTTTTGCCCTGTTGCAGGTGACGGGGATAGGCTATCCACACCGCCTGCAACGGGCCAAAAATGGGGCACACGGAGGCCAAAAATGGGGCATGTGCAGGCCGAAAATGGGACATGCAGAGGCTGAAAATGAGGCACATGGAGGCAGCAGCAGCAATGGGTGGTGACAGTGGCGATGGGCAATGGTGACCCCGCAGCCTGGAACAGCTGATAGGTGGTATTCCGGCAGGCAGATCCAACCATCAACCAGCTGCTTGTACTAAATCATGC